GAGTAACACCATCAACATGCTGTCCAACGAGATGCTAAAGGACTTTGAGCGCTTGGATTACCTCAGTCTGGGGGAGAATGACTTCATATGCGACTGCGGTTTGAGAACGGTGGTGGAGTTGGCAGCCGCTAATAATAAGGATGCGGATTGCTCCTACAACCTGCTGAACTACAGCCAGAAAGAGGTGGCCGAGGATCTGCTCATGGCGGCGGAATCACTACATATTGATCGCGGACTCTGGCAAAGTCGCTACATTCCCTGGTTGAAGAGGAGTTACACAAACGTAAAGGACTTCAATCGAGTCAATCATATCATCAAGGTGCGCATCTTTTCCGAGGACCACAAGATCTCCAAGTGCTCCTCAGCCACGCCATATCATATGGATGAATTGGGCAGCGATCTCAGCCTGAAATTCCAGCTACTCGACTACGAGGCCAGTCAGTACTACTGCTTCAACAACACCGATCAACTCCAGGTGGATCAGCTGAACTGCCAGGTTCGAACGATGAATGATCTAGCGGAGGAACTGCATCGCGTTACGAACACGGTGATCGCAGTGCTGGGCAGTATCATTGGAGTCTGCATCCTGGGGTTCATTGTCTACTTGAAACGCTGGCACATTCACTACTATTACTCATCCTTGAAGTCCGCTGCCTTGTTGTCCAGTGCCTCGAAAGAGGCGGTGGATAGCTTTAGCCAGATATCCCAGAGGGATCCCAGCGCCGTCTACGATATCTTCATCAGCTACTGCCAAAATGATCGCCCCTGGGTGCTAAACGAACTATTGCCAAACGTGGAGGAAACTAGGGATATATCCATTTGTCTGCATGAACGAGATTTTCAGGTGGGCTAGAACTAGAACTTTATTTTGATGTAAAATGTACACTGATAGTTTCTTAACACGTTAATATGGGATTATGATTCAGTTTTAAGTTTAGCCAAATATTATTCCTATTTACAAATTGGTTAAAACCGAAATTTTAATTTAAATAAGCGTATCTTGAAAATCGATTCAATGCTTAATAATAACCCCTATACTTTTTTGATTCATTTATATTTTAAAAGTTCCTTAACATTTTAAATATTATTATTAATATTTACATTTACAACATTCACGCTACTTTCTTTCCATTTTACCAATTGGCAAATAGGGGTTATATAAACCTATTTAATAGTGAAAATGGATCGTACTCCTACATTAACGTGATAATGTCAAAAACTTTCATTGCAAATTGTATTGAATTTAAATGAAAACAATATTGTTTATATAATAAAATAATAACGTTGATCATTGTAATTCATCCTGTTTCCATTCTAGATCGGAGTTACTATCCTGGATAACATTATTTCCTGCATGGACCGTTCGTACTCCCTTATGCTGATCATATCCTCTAAGTTCCTGCTAAGCCACTGGTGTCAATTTGAAATGTATTTGGCACAGCATCGGTATGGAAACTTTTTTGTTTTAAATCTTAAAAACACTAACATATTTCCCTTGCAGTATTTTCGAGGTTAGCAAGGAGCATTTGATCCTGGTTTTTCTAGAAGACATTCCCCGACGAAAGCGTCCCAAAACGCTGCAATACCTGATGGATGTGAAAACCTATATTAAATGGCCGGCTGGCAAGGGCGATTCGGGACCCAAATCGGAGGAGCGAAAACTATTTTGGAAACGCTTGAGACGAACACTTGATGTCATAGGCATCAACTCCAAAGAGGTCAAGGCTTAAAAAATTATTAGCATACCTTAATTTTATTTAAAGAGTTCTAGTCAGTTTTGCAAGTACCTGGAAAATAAACACAAAACCCCTAACCCTATTAAAGAAAAAAGTTAGTAAAGATAATACTAAAAATAACATAGTATAGGCAATAAATCGTTATATAATACAAATATATACCTAAGAGCACCAATAAAGTTATGTTTTTTTTTAAGTTTATTTAAAAAGCTGAGCTCCAAAATAATGGTTTAGAATACGGTTATATTCAAAACAATAAGTGTTCATAATATTTATTAGATCCAAGTCACATTCTAAATTGAATTTTTTTCTTACTACTTTCTATATACTGTGGAAAAACATTTTCCATCATCGTTAATACGCTTATTACAGTTATAACCAATACTGGTAAAATCTTAACAAAAGCCATGGAGTGACATGTTACCAAAAATAAACGGTATTAATAAAGTTCAATTTTAAAAATATTTCAAATTTGTTGACCTTGTGCAACACCGCAACTATCGATTAAGATGCATAGCCCTATCGATAACAACGTCAACAGCTGATCTTGCCTATCGGTATTTACGCGCCAAAACAAAAACACGGCATTAAACAAATTGTAATTTACGCTCGCACAAAACCATGGAATTCCGCCTGAAGAAACGCCCGCGCCTTGAGGTCAAGGCTGAGGTGGTCAGCCTGGAGAGCAAGTATCCGCAGAACGTGATGATGTACCACTATCCGCCGACGGACGACGTGCACATCGAGGAGTTCGAGGAGCTGGCCCTGGAGCGCCTGCGCCTGCTCCGCGTCCTGGATCGCGCGAGCACCCGGAACCTGCGCCTGCTCTCCGACGAGTGGAAGGAGTACGTGAATGCGGAACTGACCCGCGAGGGATTGCGCAGCTACCTGCGACTCTGCTCCGCCGGCGGAGGCACTAAGCATGAGGCGGACATGCAGGCCCGCCGGCGGGACTACATCTCGCACTTCATCCTGCGGCTGGCCTACTGCCGCTCGGAGGACCTCATCCGCTGGTTCGTGGCCCGCGAAATGGAGCTTTTCCGGTACAAATTCGCCGCCCTCAGCAGCGCTGAGGTGAAGCAGTTCCTGGAGGCCAACAAATTTGAGGTGCAGCCGCTTACCGAGGCCCAGAAGGACGAGGTCAAGGATGGCCTGTACGAGAGTACGGTGGGCCAGAGTGTGGCCAAGATCGAGCTGCTGGACTTCTACAAGGTGCCGTTCACCCAGGTGATGGACCTGGTGCGAAGTCGCCGCTGCTACTTGAAGGCAGGCTTTGCCTATGTGAACACCCACGATCTGGTGTCCATTGTGGGCACGCGGCAGCAGGACGAGATCGAGCGGGGACTGCTGGCTGCCAAGGGTCTGGTGGAGGAGGTGGAGGGCGACGAGCGCATCTCCCGCATGCTGAAGGCGTTGCACAACTCGTACACCGGCAAGGACTACACCGTGTGCCGGGACGCAGCGGTGCCCATCGAGTCCCTCGACCAGCTGTCCAAGACCTCCATGCCGCTGTGCATGCGCATGTGCCACGAGCACCTGCGCGCCCAGCATCACATAAAGCACGGCGGCCGGATGCAGTACGGCCTGTTCCTCAAGGGGATTGGCGTGACGCTGGAGGATTCGCTGCGCTTCTGGCGCGAGGAGTTCACCAAGAAAATGGACGCGGACAAGTTTGCGCGCAGCTACGAGTACAACATCTACCACAACTACGGCAAGAAGGGCTCCATGGTGAACTACACGCCCTACTCCTGTGCGAAGATCATCAAGGAGATGGCCACGCCGGGCGATTGCCATGGCTGTCCCTACAGATACATGGACCCGGGATCGCTGAAGACCAAACTCTCCTCCTACGGCCTTTCCGCCAGCGCCATCGAGGAGGTGATGTTCTTCGTGTCCCGCGGCCACTATCAGATCGGCTGCGGCAAGTACTTCCAGATCACCCACAACGCCACCGCGGAGCCGACCATCAACCATCCGAACAGCTACTTCGAGGAGAGCCAGATAACGATGGGCAACCGGCAGAAGCGCACCACAGGATCCGCTGCGCCGAAGGCCAGAGCTCGACCGGACATCAAGGGCTGCGGCGATCGCTCCATGCTGATGGGCGACGACGACGATGAGCTGTGGCGCATTGCGGAAACCCAAGAGCGTGCCATGCAAAGCCAAAAAGCCATATCGGAGGCCTTTGATGACGACCTAGATCTAACGCAAATCGATTACTAATCCTAATGCAAACTAAACTAGCTTAGATGTATACTTAAGTACGGAAAAAGAGAAAAATATATGCGGATGTTGATCAATCTGCTCTTGAACATATCAGAATATATATACATTAGAGATTTAAAACTGGCAAGACACTTGAACCGAAGAAAACAAATAAGTTATGCATGGCAGACATAAGGTAAGTGTTCAAATTTGGTTTTAATGCGTTAGGTCGCAACAATTTTAAAAGTTAAATGCTTAACAGGAAAGCAAATCCTTTTGCAGCTATTGCAAAATAATTATTATTTAAAACAACTATAGTAAAGCTCTGATTATTTTCCACTGATTTATTCGATTGTTTTTATGGCAGCTATATTATATGGTCGACACTATAGGCAAAATCGTAATTCTGAAATATTAAAAAATTACAACATCTCAAAGAACACTAAAAAAATAAAAAACCGCGAATTATAATTTTTGTTTATTTATATTTCCGATTGTTAGGTTAAGCCCTTAATTCTGAAATATTAAATTATTTCTGATTCTAAAAGAATTACAAAGAAATGCAAAAACAGCCAAGTTATAATTTTTGAATTTATTTTTCCGATTGTTCCTATAGGAGCTATTTAATTTGTTGTCCGATCCGGCTAAATCCGTGTTATATACTACTTGCAACAGAAAGACAACTTTTGGATGGTGACGCTGATCAGGAATAGGTTAAATCCGATGATTCTACTCAGTATAATAGGGCAAACATGTTATTAAACAAATTTTTTATAGATACTAAACTATTGTTGCATGAATTTTAAACTATTGGATATGAAAAATTTCATAACATGATGAATTTTCTCTTAAAACGCAATTTATGTAGTTTAAAAATAAGGCCTTAGACTTCAGTTTTACACTCTTCGGTAAACTAAAATGTAAAGTGATTAAATTATTTAGTATTGAATTAATACTTTTAATACCTTCTGTGTAGCCCTGCACTGCGTTTCATTTTTTTGACTAAATTATAATAATGAAAAGTAAAGGCATATTAAGAGAAAAAAAAACAAATCCTAATTTATAAAAATATAATGAGATATTCTTTATTCAGTGTAAAGGTTTAGGAAAATGTTAAATTTGCTATTTCTCGGGATTTGTTAACTTTACGTCTGGCAAAGATAGCAAGTCCGTAAGCTTGGGTCAATAGACTTCTGCGCATTGCGACCGTAAGGAGGCCAGCCATTTACATCCACATAGTACATGCCCCTAGCTTGGGGATTGATTTGATAGCCCATCGGGGAAACGATTCCCTCAGAGCAATCCCGTCTTCTTAACTTGTCCCACGAAGCGCACTTTCTGCCCATGAAGTTCTTCTTCTGCTGGGGATACGCACTCTCCGCAAAATACTCCACCGCTCGTGTATGAGAGCAGCCGATGGTCAGGCAGCCCGGCTGGATGGGATGTGCCCCACCCGGATAGAAATCCACGTCCCCCAGGGGACCTCGCTTGGCCAAAATGCCAATGTTGGTGTGGATGATGTCCACCAGCTTGGCATCGCCCTGCGTCAATCCCGGCAGGATGTTCTCCCGCCTGAAACAGGGTTTGGCCGGATCCAGGCCGGTTATCCTGGGGATCAGCTTTCCGGTCAGCCGCTTAAATGTTCGACCAGCAGTGCCCATGATGTGAGCTCCCAGGGAATGTCCTACATGGAAATAAATTACAAAATTTTAAGGAATTTTTCAATCTGGGCAATAAAACATACCAATCAAATGGATATTTCGCAGGGGAGTCAACTCTATGAGATGTGTCAATCCCACACCAATGTGCTCGCCAATTAAATCTGTATTGAGAGCCGACCAGGAGTACAAGGTGTCCACGTAGTCAGCGGCATCCACAATCTGGAAAAAAAATTCTTAGCAATATAATCTTAAAGAAGTTTTCTCTGGACGAACCACAAAATTCACATCGCCACGACACATGAATGCCTTGGAGATCATCGAAATGGCTGAGGATTCGTTCACAGTGTTGGTCCATCCAGTGGCCAGGATCACCACCTTGCGTCCCTTGCTAAACCTTGAGTGCTTCCACAGCTTCGATGCCTCCAGTAGAGGCACACTGTAGTTCTGGCATGGAGTCATATACTGAAAATGCATTTTCTGTATGTCCGGAGTGATTTTCGGAGGCACTCTGCCCATAAACAGGGTGGAGGAACCTAGGAAATAGACTTTAAATTCAAAATAGTTTTCTTATAACTATAAGATGTTATTCTTACACACAGTATCAATTGCGTTGGCAATAAGTTCTAGTGGAGCAGCTGTGAGAATGTTCACTTTCGTGTTCACAATGTCGGTCACAAGTCGGGGTAATGCATCCCACCAACTTCCAGTTGCCCTGCCTTCCGCATTATCGGCTGTATCTTCAGATGATCCAAAGCGTAAGAGGATAACAATAAGACAGAGGATCCGCATATCAAGAACATTCACTTTACTACACGAATGCTGGAACTAGTTTAAGTTTTGCTAGTATGCGAATTATTGCTCGTTAATCGGGCTTTGTTTGACGGTTTCATTGTTTCCAAATTAAACCCAAAAATTATTGTTTGCATTCATACATATACTGAGTATACTGTTCCAGTTTTTAATAAAAAGTCGTGTTTAATTAAGCTAAATGCTAAGTCGGCCAAGTTTAAGTTACGAACTAAAAGAGTTGTGATTATAGTTTAGTTCGTTATCGGCGCTCCTGTTGAAAAGTTGGATAATCACAAACCTCGGAGTTCTCAGTACTTAGGATTAATTGGCTTAGTATAGGTACATCTATAGATCTTACATTTAGAAAGCTTTAGCTAGACAATTTAGATATGTCTTCGTACTGGACATTTTCCACAATTCGTCCTTTTAGAGGACCATGCAATATCTCCACGCTGACCGAATATTTACGCTCGTTTAGTTTCCTTAGCAAAGCTTCAGATCCGCGATAGGCGCCATTGACAACCATAACACGTTTATCCAAGGCCGGGATAACAGTCTCCAGGTGTGCCTAAAAATAATAAAATACTCTTAAATTAATTTACAATATTAATTATTGTTGACCAGTTGCCTACCTGATCCACTTTCAGCTTTTCCCCCGTGTCCAAGAACTTGATTTTAGCTTGATATTTGTCTATGACTTCCTGAACAACCGCTTTCTGTTTGAAGAACTTGTCGCCCATGGACTTGGAGATGAACTTGACCACAATGTCCTTGTGCAGCCAGTAGTCTTTGCGGTTGGCGCGCTCCTTTTTGGCCTCCTCCTGCTTGATGATCTCGTCCAGCACCGACCGGGTTTGACTGTCTCCGGCAATAGATTTGGGCTTCTTGAAGACCTTTTCGTCAACTTCCGAGGCAGGTCGTTTGGCCAATGCGGACTTTCCAAGGACCGTGTCAGGCTGAAACTTTTTCTCCAGGCGGATGTCGAGTTTCAAGGGTTCGTTCTCCTCGCGCTTGAGTTCGGTGAACTTCTCCTGACCCTCGTCCTCCTCGCCGTCCTTTGCTTTGGCCTTTTTGATTTGCTGTTCGATAAAGTCGGCCATCCGCTCCTCGTCGTCCTTCTCCATCTTCTCCTTGCGGTCGGCCTTCGCCTGGCGCTCCATGGCCTCCGGACTGCGATCGATGTACGAGACGAACCAGCCCTTCTCCGTTTCGTCCGCTATCACCTGACCCGTCCGCCCCAGCCACTTGACGTAGTCGGAAAGGGTCAGCCACCTGGTGGCGTTCATGTGGATGTGCTCCTTGTGGGCAATGTACTCCTGGTAGATCTTGTTGGCGCTGGTCCGCTTGGTGCCGAACCGCCGGCGCAGTAGCTCCATGTAGCCGTCGGAGAACTCCTTGCTGAAGCTGTGCAGGAATTTGCCAGGGGAGTCGGCGAAGAGGAGCAACTGGCGCTGGTGGGACTCGCTCATCGTGTGGCACTTGAAGCCGTTCTCGTCGCGACACTGCTTTTCGCACATCTGGCAGTACCAGCGCAGCTTCTGCAGGCCCTTGGACTTCATCTTGTTGGCCAGGTACTTGGGCGTACCCACCTCGGCACGACCCATCTTTAAGCCTTGTTATTAGCCTTGATCTTCAATAATTTCGCAACAAATTCGGATTGTTTTGGCTGCAGCTGATAAATCTTCATTTGTGTGTGACCGTAGTTGCCTGTTAAGAAAATACCAAAGTAGTTTAGAGATGTTTCTATTTATTGGTGTGACCAGCCGGTTTCAAATAATTTATAACGGTTTGACAACATTTAAAAATGGTTTTCTCACCCAAGTTTGTTATTACGAATGAAAAACTTGTTAAATAAATCAAACTTTTTCCTAAATTTACAATTCCTTCGAAACTGCTATTATAAAAAACTCTTTAAAAAAAACTTTAGATGTAAATAACAATTTAAACTCAGTTTTTTGATACAAATATACATTTAATTCCCTGTAAATAGCTTAATTGAATATTTTAAAATGTTAATTAAACGACAATTTTCTCTCCTAATCTCTCAATCTCATCCAAGATGAAGTCCAACTCTTCGTTTTTCAGGATGGGGAAGCAAGTGAAGACCATGCGTAGGAAGTTTCCCAAATTTTTGGCCTTGAGCGGTGAGTAGCCCACCATCAGAGTGCCACTGTGGGCCATCTGCTCCTTGATCTTCGGAGCCACCTACAGGAAAAGTCCCAAAATTAAATAATTAAAAGAGATACTTTAGAGTAACTTACAGTATATAGACGGGTCCACCACTCAGCCGTTTCCTCTTTCGGGGTCACCCGCATTGAACTTGGGATGTACCAAAAGCAGACATTGGAGTACTCGTGCTTCTGAAGCACCAACCGAAAGCGATCCCCGCGCTGTCGCAGCTTATCCTCCAGCAATCGGGCCATGTCGATGGCATGGTCGACCAGGAGTCCATACTTCCCGTACCCACGAGCCTTCAGCATCAGCCAGAACTTGAAGGCATCGATCTTTCGGCCGCACTGGACACTCTTGTTGCCCGTGTCGTAGGACACGTCGTAGAACTTGTCCTGCTGGAAGAGGTAGTGCGCCTCGGTGCTGTTGCATCTCTCCAGGAGTCGATCCGTTTCCCGGGTTAGAAATAGCGAGCACTGCAGTGGAGCTCCGACTGTCTTGTGTGGATTCCAGGCGAAGGAGTTGGCCCGCTCCAGGCCAGCAATTAGGGATCTGTTCCTCGAGGAGAGCAGTGAGGCACCTCCCAAACAGGCGTCCACATGGAGCCACAGACCATGACGCTCCGCCACATCCGCTGCACCGTTTATGTCATCGAAGGCGCCCAGTACAGTGGTACCTGCCGTACAGTTGACAAAGAATGGCTGTCCTCCACGTGCCTTCGCCTCCTCGATCTTCGCCTCCAGATCGTCCAGTTGCATCTGACCCCGATCGTTGGTCCTCACCGACACGCAGTTATCACTGCCCAATCCCAGCCAGTTGGCCGCCTTCACGAAGCTGTAATGCGATTCGTCCGAGGTGAACAGCACCAGTGGTCGCATCCCAAACATTCCCGCGGTCTTCACCTCGGGAGCGAACTTGTAGCGGGCCAGGACCACGCCGTACATGTTCGAGGTGGAGCCGCCGGGCGCGAAGATGCCATCGCCATCCTTGTATCCTGCCAGCTGGCACATGCGCGAAATTATCTCAGTCTCAATCAGGCTGAACACGGGTGCAACTTCATAGGTGTAGCTGCAAATAAGAATTTTGATTTATATATAAAGCTAAATAACACAAATTAATTGAGTTGTATTGAATTTCTTATTTTATAAGCATGATTTTAATGTCCTAATTTCCAGTCATTTAGTCTAAACAAATATACCTTGGCAAAAAAAAAAAAATCCTAAGTTTGAAAAAAAAAATCGTTTTTAATGCAAAAAAAAAAGGTTTTAATGTAAAATTTACTTTTTAAATCGCATAAAAAACATAAATTATGCTGAGCAATAAAAATTTTGTGTTTCCTTATCAAGATTCACATGCTAGGTTGATTAGTGTAAAACCTGTGTCTAAGAAGTAAGTTTTACTACAAGTGCAAAATATAGCCATTTCTTAAAGAACACAATTCTAAAAAAAAAAAACGAAATAAAACATGTACATGTAATGTAATTAAAAGTTGAATTAGGTTTTTGTAACACTGTTTTCAGGGGCTTACAACTATGCATTGTAATTTACACCACAGCATGAACACAATTATCTGTTCGATGAACTCTGCAACCACTTGTAGATTGGATCGAAAGATGCAATCAGCTGTCGGTCATATATAGAGTCTATAGACATGGGCACATGCACATGCATGGAGTAATGCTACGGCGGACTTACGAGCTTCCGTTCATGGCCTCGGTGATCAGGGCTCCTGCCAGACCGAATGGGTCGAGCTGCCCGAAGAGCTGATTGTGGAAGCGCCCGTGCGACGTTTTCACGGAATAATGGATCACCTGCTGACACAGCTCTTCGATTTCAGCGAGTGTACACTCCTCTGTCTCCCGGACTCTCAGATTAATCAGTTCCTGGGAAAGATTGTAAATCATCATGTAATACAACTGAGCTGAACTACATAATAGCATTATCAAAAGTTTGGGCTATTTCAATTTTTATTTAACTTATACAGATATTAAGTTTAAGTTTAAGTACACTTTGCCCTAAAATTGACTTTAATTTGCAATCGATTACATATCTCTTTATTTAAAGCTTTAATTTTAGGCGAAACAGCTTAAGAAAAATCAATCCCAATTTCATAATCGAACGAAATTCGTAATGTTCTTCCTTTCTTTTTTAACTTTACGCATAGTTGTCAAAAAAAAAAAAATTTATGCAACTTCTAAATTCTAGTAACAATAAAAGTATTTTTTGCAAAATTAATATTTGGCTTGGCAAACTTAAATAACATTTTGTTCAATTTCTACTTTCTTTTTAACTTTACGCATAGTTGTCAAAAAAAAAAAATTTATGCAACTTCTAAATTCTAGTAACAATAAATAACATTATGTTCAATTTCAACTAAAGCCAGATATGGTTTATACCTGCAACAGCCCTAAAATCTTCTAACAAACCATATTGAATACCATATTAATACTAAATACTACACACTACAAAATTTAGACAAAATAAAAGGCGATCCACTCGTTAGGCCAACTATAATTAAATTATTTCCAATTGCTGCCAGGGGTCATGTGTCGAATTGAACTCTTTTATTAATCAGTCCGTCCGTTATCTCCAGATCGGTTAACGTTCACTCACCTTCAGTTCGTCTGGCTGCAAAAAGGGCACTATCTTTTGGTTGTCCCATTTCTGGGGATCCACACAGAAGGTGTCCTCCCTATGGATCAGTTTGAAGACGTTCTCCAGGATATTCCAGTCGTCCATGAGGCCATCGCGGATCTGATCCACAGCCACTGACTGATCCACTGGAGCAGCCATATCTCTTCAAATTGGCCTCTGTAATAAACGATTATTTTGGGGTCTCGGGAAC